AGCACTAATGATCTGCAGATAATAACATGATATAATAAAACATTTCTAGGCTCAACATTTATGCTCCAGGGCAAAGCAGAGTGTTTAAATTTCAATAAACAAACTGCTAGCAATACGATACGGGCTTTCTCTTTGAGTAAATTATCAAAATTACAGTTTATTACTTAGGAAGGCGGAGTGTTACAACAAATCCATTCGGATACACCTGAGCGGCACTTAAACAACAGATCATTCGTCATTTACAGTAAAATTATAGGGAAACGTAGAACGGTGGCAGTTTATGTTGTTTTGAATAGCAAACGGAACGCGAACTTCAAAATTACCGCCATTTGTAATACATCAAGCTGTGCCGGCGGCTGCGCGTTGCTCCCTGGCTTGCGGTTGTTTGACAAATGAAGTCGTTGTTCTTCCTGCACGGCGCCACCACATCTTACGAGCCGGAATGTCGCGTGTAGATACCTTACACTATGGCACGTTCACACCTGACTCTGACCTGAGCAGTGAGTTATGGCGACACTCGGACAAATAACTTAGCTCAATTGACCTGCGTTTTACCATAACGACATTGATTGACACTTTATTAAGAAACATTTTTTGATGTCAATAAGTATCATAGTCATTATATTTGTAGCCTAGATATCAAAAGTGGGTAAGACTATACCTAAGTATCTAATATCAGCATTGTCACTTTTGTTAAGTAGGTCAATAGCTAACGGTTCTCGCTTTGATTAGTCATTATTTCCATATAGGGGTTTTACTTAACATAGAAGCGGTCGTATTATATAGGTACTGCTAAGCAGCGGAACAGTGGCGAGTGGCACCAGGCGGCAGCATTATACATAATTGGCGTCACTGACCTACGGTAAACATTGCGTCTCCATTCAAGGTCAACAGCCTTGACGGTTTATCGTTTCCAATAAGATGTCAGTATACGTAACATATTACAGTTTGAACAAGCTTTATTGGTTGCTCATGTTTATATTAAAGTAAATGAGAAAGAAGTTAGGCTAGAGGTAATGTAAAAGTTAGATAGTACCTAGTATTTGTTTTAATTTTTAAATACTTTATTATCGCTGAAATAACAAAATTATGAATAATAATAATAATTACTTAAAATTGACGTAGGACAAAAAAGAAACAAACAGCGAATACCGAAGTGAAATATTTAACACCAAACCAGATGAAGTCATTACAAATTCCTTCACACAATCGAGAAAATGCAAAAAAAGTAAAAACGTTCATTTCGTAACCTTGGCGGCACCTTGAACGGCAGACTAAAATGCAGACGAGACGAAACAAAGGGTGAGATAAGAACAGCTCAGGTCATTTAATACAGAAGGCCAGGGGCGAACTTACATTCTTAAGGAGTCACACATTCTCGAGTACTAAATACATGGTGTTTGCCAGGAAGATATCAATGATAAGGCCGCCTTTATGCCAATATTCCTGTACTTAAATTCTTTTTTTTTTCTGAATAGGTATGTAACATGGTGTACAGTTAAGATTATTCTAAGTATCTAAAGAACATTTGGAACTTTTGAAACCCTATAAACCAATGTTGTTTGACGAGGGTGGATTACTGTCAAACACCGAGCGGTCACCGGTGACCGCAACCTATTGTTCTTTAATTGTGTCTATAATGACGGTACTCAACGAGTTAAGGCGTACAATTTCCAATTTTAGTCATATTCGGTCCTTGGACCGAATCTTGATTGGATTATAGTGAAGGTTAGGAGTGTGATAGATCTTATTCCTTCACTATAATCCTAGATGTCAAGACTTTGACTGCCAGCAGAAAACTGTTGAAGGCAAATCCTCCTCTGTGACCTCTCAAAAGCATTTGATTGCGTTGACCACGAAACACTTTTGCTGAAATTAGATCACTACGGGATAAGAAACTCTGCGCTCCGTCTTATGAAATCTTATTTAGAAGAAAGACAGTTAAAAGTTCATGGTAACGGTATTAACTCACAGGGCTCTGGGATGAATATGGGCGTTCCTCAAGGTTCAATATTGGGTCCCTTTCTCTTTTTAGTCTATATAAATGATTTGCCATTTATATTTAAAAATGAACCAAGAATGGTGCTTTTTGCAGATGATACATCATTAATTTTTTAAGTAGATTGACGTAAAAATAATCTTGACGACGTAAACAGCTCCATTCTTCAAGTGCATAATTTACCATTAATAATCTAGCACTTAATGAAAAAAAAACAAAATGTATTAAATTCAGTTTACCAAACGTGCGTAGTAACGATTGTGATATTGTTTTGAACGGTCAATAGTTAGAATTTGTCGACGAGACAGTATTTTTAGGCATGACATTAGACAATAGGCTACAATGGGGTCCGCATATAAAGGCGCTTTCGGGGAGATTGAGCTCAGCTGCTTTTGCAGTTAGACAAATTAGACAGCTCACGGACGTAGATACAGCTAGGCTTGTCTATTTTAGTTATTTCCACAGCATTATGTCGTACGGCATTTTGTTGTGGGGTCGAGCTGCAGAAATAGAATCAATATTTATTCTGCAAAAGCGGGCTATCCGAGCAATATATAACTTACGCCGTTGCGAATCGTTGAGAGAATTGTTTAAAACGATAAATATTTTAACGGTGCCCTGTCAATATATATATGAAAATATAATGTATGTAAGGAAAAATAGGCAATTGTTTGAAAAAAGAAGCGATAGACACAATTTTAATACTAGAGGCAAAAATAAGTTAGCTATACCGCAATTCAGACTGTCCAAAGTACAGAAATCCTTTATGGGGTTAGGTATTAAATGCTATAATAAAATACCAAATAGCATACTAGATCTCAATGAAAGTAAATTTAAAACATATATTAAGCGCGAATTATGTAATCAAGCTTACTACACACTGACAGATTATCTTGAAGATAAGAATGCTTGGCAGCATGTTGGTTCGGCTCCACTGGACAATACTCAAATGTAGTCAGTAGTTAAATTCCGATAGTAGGTAATATAATACATAATTTAATACTTTAATTCTAATGTAGACAATATAGTTTCCTTATGGCATCGAGCATTTCTTTCTGTATTGAAACAAAGAGTTTCCTTTTTCTTGTATAGAAGCACTATTTCTATGGATTGTCAGTATGCATATGTGAGCACCGTGTTAGACTTAAGATTTTTTTTATTTTTTTTTTATCTAGTAAGTTATTAGTATAATGCGTCAAGCGTGACTTTGCATTGTTCTTACATATGCGTACAGTATTGAAATATGTATCAGAGACATTGTAGAACATACTTTTTTAAAAGAGTAACGAATGGAGTTTCTTGCTCGTTCTTCTCCATTCGAATCTACGTTTTGGAATGAGCACCTAGCTTCACCTAATTTCACTGACGGACTGACTGACAGACTATTATTTATTTGGAATTGTTGACGTTTCAAAAGTACCAAACTATGGTTTAATTGAAATAAATGCTTTGACTTTGACTTTGACCTCCGCTAACATAGGTCATCGGTGACCTACGCGGCGGTTAACGTGTTAGATTTGTTTTTTGTGTGAGAGATGCATTTACTTACTAACAAACAAACTCAAGTACACATCACACTCATACCCAGAAATACTATTTATTTGTGGATTGAGACGTTGAGAAGGAGTTGAAGCATGCAGTTTAATTCTTTAACTGATGAAATCAAATCCTCCGCGTCCTCAGCGTCGGACAATATTGACCACAGTGGCAGTGAATGCTTTAATTGTAATGCTTCAATTCCAAATTGGAGCTAAAAATCTAAGAAGTTTCAAAGTATAAATTAATGACGTTCAACATTTTTTAATTCGGTATAAGTTTGTTACTAAAGTCCATTCTCCACATAAGCACCAACAAACAGACGTTAATTATTCCTTTATTAAACTTCCAAATCCACGACCGGGTTAGGATTTCGGGTCAAGTTTGCAATAAATCGTCCGTAATCCGTCCCTGCATAAAACATTTACATACACGGCCAATGATGTACTGAACTGATTGTAAGAATAGTACTGTGGATTTAAGTAAAAACTTATAATGGAAGTCGGGATGTTTGCACACACTCCCACATCCGGGCTCAACATGTCCTACCTACTTGAGTTACTTGACATCCTTGAGTTTTTGTTTTTATTTTATATTCTGTCTTGATAAAAGTCCTAAGCGCATTGCAGAGCACGTGGGTTTCGTTGGATTGTAAAACTAAAGATGAGAATATGCCATATTGTCTTCCTAGTTCATACTACTGTACATTCAGAACTACTGTCAAATGTTTGTAATTTATATTAAAAACAATATTTTAATAACATAATGTAAATATTTATTTTCAAAACATTATTTTTTTAATTATAAATAAAAAAAAAGTCCCAATACCCAAGCAAATAATTTTTGTAGACAGGTTCGCATAAACCGCAACGTGTGTGTATTTATGCTGACACTAAACAGAACCTAACAACTATTTTCAAAAGTAAATTACGAATAGAAATGACAATGTTAATAGACCACAGTGCGGTCGCACCTGACGTTACTCGTTCGTAGATACACATTGTTTACGAGGTCGATCCATTCGACCTAATTTGTTTTGTCTCGTTCAATATTATTAAATCACCATCGGAAATACCAGACGATAGGCAGCTATATCTGATTCCGACAAAGCGAACAGTCTACGAAACTGATCAATATCCTAACTGCTGTATCAAAATTTAAACCTTACAGTGACTAATCCAATTTAATATTTAATCTATAGGATAAAATTACTACTATAGGTGACTACTACCATACTATTAATGCATCGAATGGGTAACCTGCGCCATCTAATATTTGACTAACAAATATCTGTGTTAAAATAACGTTGCGCACAGCGTCTTTTGAATACTTAGCCACGTTTATTACATGTCAGTGACCGGTGCAAGGAAACCCCGGGTGAACAAGCCCGTGCTAGTAGTTATACTTACTTGTTGCAAGGAGACAACGGGCGACCCCGCACATGCGCACTTACCCTCATTGATTTTTCTCACTTTGACAGTTCCACCTATGTTTTGAGCCATCGCTCGCGTACCAACAACAAAGTAAACAAAAAATGGCTTTAGATTTTTCTGCAACATATAAATTACTAGTTTTAGGTGATTCTAATGTTGGTAAAACGTGTATAGTGCACAGGTATTGTGATGAGAGATATTACGATATATACATATCTACTATAGGTGAGTAAATGTTTTTATTTTTAGTTTTACGAGCCTTTGTCAGACAGGTGATGCTGTATTTTAGTGGGTTTTTGTAACTTAACGAATCTGTGATTATGTTTTGTATTGCGGATGTAAAGTGAGAAACAATGGAACGTGTGACGTGAAATAGCCTTTAAATATTTATACAGTCTGGACTTCCTTCCATACATTGTACAGTTAAAAGTTAGTGCTCGACCTACGTTAGTAAGCAATGTACTTTTAGTCAAATACAGCTTGTTTCTCCGTAACGTATTTCATATGTTTTTTGCTATAACTTTTTGCTATAACAACCAACCTGGCTGCTAATATTGTTGTATCTTTGACATCTTACTAACAGCCTGCTTTTGTGTGCTCAAGTGCATTGTACTTCTCAAAAGCTTAGAAATTCTATCAGTGTTCATGACAAAGCTAAGACAGTACCTTTTTACCTAGATGAATACGTAATATTTTGTGTTTTAGTATTATTTTATATTAATTTCGGTGTAACTATCTTTTGTTGCAATTAATCCATAAATAAACGTACCTTTCTATCCTATCTTATTCAGAATTAAAGCTAATGCTTTAATTCTGAATAAGATATAAGAGCTATATTATAGCTCTGATAATACACGTTTAAAATAATTTTATTAATAACTAGCAATCATCTGATGCTGCTGTGAATATTATAACGTAAATCAGTTGTAAATGTTGAAACTATTCTTTGTTGCGCTCTAGTGATTCCAAAAGGATAATTATCATTCATAATTAGCCTTTTACATTTTAAGTTACGCTCTGATGCACTGCAAGTTTTTTACGCAATGATTTGCTTATTTTGATTTCTTACCTGCTAAAGAATATATATTTCATCTGGCCAATTATTATAAATAACATCCCTACATCACATAAAGTGTCGAAAAAAGGTAACTTAGATGTGAATCCCACTTTAAACACAAGTAGTATAACAAGGCAAATGCAACAAACAACAATAAAAGAAACTAAGCAATTTCACGACATTTACGATGTGGTTAATCCTGTGATTTCTTTTTGGTAATAATTATAGATGTAGTTAATTGTAGTGTGTAACTAGGTTCCCTCTTTACTTTATAAAAATGGACTAGATGTATTATAATTAAAAAACTGTATGACAAGGGCACGGACCTAGAGTTCGTCGAGAAATAATCTATAATATTAAAAAAAAAAATCCTGTGATTTGACCACATGTGGGCGTGGGTATGCCACCGTGAGATGTAGCCATAGAATGCAGTTAGATAGCAGTACAAAGAATCTTTGGAACAGTCCATCTTAAAAACTTAAAAAGCTATTTATTAATGAAGATACTACTGCTATCTATCTAAGTAATAACAATCAAGCTGATTACGAAACCTGACTTAAGGTAGTAATCTGCCATAAGTTATATTTTGTAGTTAAAATTACCACACAATAGCTTCAGTTACATTAACTGCACTTACATAACAATTCCAGGCATAGACTTCAAACAGAAGATAATAAATTTAGACGGCGTGCCAATCAAGCTCCAAATATGGGATACGGCTGGACAGGAGAGATTTCGAACACTGACCACTGCGTACTATCGCGGCGCTATGGGCATAATACTGATGTACGACATCACTAATCTTGAGTCATTCAATCATCTCTCTTATTGGCTGAGAAACATCCAAGAGGTAAGATAAAGCTATTGATATTTCTTAAATTAATAACTTAAAGATAATTTCGATGTGAAGAAGAGAGAGTATAAAATTTGACTGTAGGTATATTTTTCAATGATATAGGAAATGAAGAATTCGAATTCATTGTAAGACATATCTAGGTAATGATAGTAGCTTAGACATCATCTAAGTATTAGGAGATAACGTTCCATTGTCGGTATTAAAAGCAAATCTGAAGATCACAGGTTCCATTAAGAAGCTCAAAATATTTAAAAGAGTCTTAGAATTCAAATCGCACATTTACAGTCAAGAATCTAACTAACGGTAATGAAAACAATGGTAGTTATAATTTTTCTTCATATAGCTCTCATAGGTAATTTGACAATGTCCAAAACAATAGCAAAGAAGGTACTCTTTGCTATTGTAGGTAGGTACCTAAGTATATCGACTTGTCCTGATGAAAGGCCAGCTCCTAACAGACTTGTTCTTGTCTTAATAATCGAGGGAATGTTACTAACCTATAATACTATGTTTACAGTATGCATCTCCCGATGTCATCAAGGTGTTAGTTGGTAACAAGTGTGATGTGCACGAGAATCATAGAGCAGTTCCCAAGGAGAGAGGTCAAAAGGTAATTTTCAATACCAATTAACCTAAATCGCAAGTCTAATGAATCATCTATCCACAATTCGATATAGTTTTAGGAGAAAGTTAACCTTCTAAACAATTAACACTAACTAATTCTCTCAGTTATACACAGTAGTAGTGGTACAAAAGCAAGATAGTCACGATTTTTTTTTTATCAATAACGCTGCAATTATAAATAATTAGTGCTCCGATACTAGTTTATCCTCAAATTGAAATGCGAACGAAGGTAGATTGTTAATTTAATTGTTTAATTAAGACCTAATCCAAAGTTTTGTTAACATTATAAGATACCTAAGTTTGAGTCCTCAGGTAAATTTTAATAAACAGCATAGGTATAAGGAAATAAATAAATAATCCTACTAGGAAATCCTATATACTACCGAGAACAAAAATTATCTGGTACAACGGCATTCTCTATCAGTCAACCATAGGGTGATGCAGAAATTTATAACAGTAGGCCGTCCAAACATCCAAACAAACTTGATACATTCTTAAGAAAATAGCACTCTTAACATAATGTACATAAATATTGTAATTTTGGTACAAGGTTATCATATTATCATCTACTAAACGGTTAACAATGACTTTTACTATGCAGATAGCAGATGACTTCGATATGCCGTTCTTCGAGGTATCGTGTAAAAGCAACATAAACATTGAAGAAGCATTTCTGACGCTAGCCAGGAAAATCAGAGAATATCGGGAGACTAAGGTATTGTTCTTTAAATATTTTTATCCAATTGGGACACATAGAGTCCCATATTCAATGCTACAACAAGTTTCTGTAAGGCCTATGAAATGGATAAGCAACTAACACACATGTCAGTTACCATGGTTTTCCAATCACACGACATACTGCATTTCATAAAGAAACGCTACCCTTCTCATATATAGAATCAAGAAGGTGACTCATGATAAATTGATAAAACACACCACTCGACCAGCGAGGCAGTAGACAGCTGACTACTAAGCCGTTAATAGCACCTATGCTACTTGACACAAAAAATCATGACGTCACAGTAGGTACACTATCTCGTAACAAATTATAGAAAACCATTTTTAATACTTCTAAATGAGTACCTATTGAATTTGACTAGTTGGAAAATACTTAGGTACCCACCGAGCTACCCAACTTAACACTTGTCAAAAGTAAATCAGAATCAGCCTTTTAAAAACTAGTTTTTTTGTTAGTCCAATAAAATAAAACAAATCTAACTTTTGGACCTACAGAACAAATGCCATAAGAAACTAAATGTGTTGACCATACCAATTTCCTTAACATAAACCGGCTCGAAAATGGGAAATTACAATAATTATATTTATAATGCTGTTTATTTATTGATCATTATTTCTTTTGCAGGCGGACGCTTTCGAGCTGAAGGAAAGAGACAACGTAATAAAGCCTTCTGAATCCGAGACAGACGTGTCAAAATGTAGCTGTTAGCCTAATGTGTTTGTAGCATCCCCGCGTTCATGTAGACCGCAATTGTTTGAACCATAATATGATGTGGGCTATATTTCCACCTGAGATACGGGTTTGTCTTATTTTATGGTTTGAGGTTTCGATGGCAAGATTATTAGCAACATAGCCGAGTACGATTGTAGATACAATAGGACCTCGCGATTTTGACATAAGACTACGAAGAATCGTTAATTAAAACAGTAAGAATTAATTTAATAAATCAAAACAAAGAAAGAAGTAAAAGTCTTACCTACTTGAATTATAGTCAGTTAGAATCTAAAGAATAAAAGAAGAAACAAACTTATATCTCAGATGTACATATTGGCGATCGCCCAAATCGTGCGTCAGGACGATCAAAGAAAATTCGTTTTCTCATTGGTCAACAATTCCCCAGTTCGCTGACTAATCAGAAAACGGCTACTCTAGTCTTGAATTAAAGCCCTCTTACCGCTAAAAATAACATTTAGATTTTAGTTCAATTTGTCTTCTAATAATAAAGTTTTAAAAATGTAGTTCAACGGTAAGAGGGTGATCGCTTTATGCATTCTGTGTGCTAACTTAGCGGCCCAGTGTACTCTCCTGAATTTCAATATTAACTCTTTACCTGTACGGGAAGTTTCCCCAATAGGTAAAGAGTTTGAGTTTTATCACAGGGGTGCATCCTGGGTCCAGCGCATATAAGACCCGCTCTAAAGCGCGATTTTAAGTGCACCCATAAATTAAATGAATTATTTACGAACATTCTCATTCCATACATTCTTTTATTTAAAGTGCAACGTGAGATACTCTAATAAGACGACAGAAGGTGAATAGAACCAGCTTTATATGCTAGTAGTGACATTTGGTAAAATGCTAGGTATAAATAGATGTAGAATTCATTACTTATTTAGCCTACCTATTCAATAAAATGTTTTAATTTCATGTAGTTAAACAACATTGTGTCATTGTCAATTTTAAGACAGGAAAATGGTCAACTTTCACTAATAGGTGCACGTGGTTACATATCTGTAATACGAATCGGATGGTTTTGGTTTGAGTGAAAAAGTCAAGAAATATCGATGGCCAAAAATGTTCTGCCTGATTATTGATAGGTAAGATTGATATTCGCAAATAAGTCGATATCGAAATAAATAAAGAATAAAAGTTGGTTCTACTCACCTTCTTTAATTTGAACTTCTCCAAATATTCGACATCTACGGACACTGAGAATGCCTTTACCTAACGCTGTAGGTAGGTTTAAAAATAAAAAAAATGTATTTAAAATAAAGCCTACGAACTATCAGACTTGCTCAGCAAATATTATAGACTCATGCACATTATTATATCTAACGAATTTAAAAAAAAATATATAGGAAATCGTTTTGTATTAGATGCGTTTGTTAATAACTGCATTTTCATTCTGCGTAAGGTTACCACTAATGCGATTGTATTGGAGAAAATATTCTAAGCTTTAGATGTTCGTAAGTCATTAGTCAAAAAGTTGATACTGTTTTAGAAGATACATAATATTAATCATAGTACTTAGGATGGTATGCAAATATCAGACGTCTTCATAATCAATTTCCCTTTATAGGTATCTGTGTACTTCAATCAATTTACATACCTACTTACTAGAAAACAATAATATACCTAGGTAAATAATAATATCATCAGTTTTATTGTCCAACGACGCAAATGAAAAATGTTGTCTCATAATCTGAACTATTTTAATCTATTTGATACTATGATTGTACCTTAATTTATGGTAATGCAAAATGATGTGTCATTGCGAATTTCTCAGCATATTAAATGTAAACGTAAATTGGTAAAACGGGGTGAATAGATACAGGAATACTTATCTATTCACCCCTCGAATTCTATTCACCCCGTTTTACTGTATTAAAACTAGTCTGATTTTGCGACTAAACATTTAACCAAATCAACCTTACGGATATGCATTAAAGCTTATAAAGAAACAATTGTTATCGTCGAGGCTCGTATTGGAAAATACCTAATGAGGATCATGTGAATGCAAAAATCATCTTAGGGCTGGTCCTAAGACTGCTGGACAGTAAAAAAATGTCCCTCGAAATTTTATCTTCGTACCAAGCTCTGAGTAGTACCTAATTGTTTGTAATAAAATTATTATAAGCATAATTGCAAGTCATGTAGGTACTTTTTATTTTTTTTCACTTCTTTGGAAAACGAGTCTCTAAAACGATCTAGTAGACTATACTGCCAGTGTCGAGTGGTGAAAATGTGTTTTTTATTTATTTGCTATGTACCTATGTACCAACATCAACTGTCAAAATCGCATTGACACGACCGTTTTAATGTTGCACGAATAAAAAAAAAATGCTAAAATGTTAGAACAACGAATTAATTAAATTACAAATATTGTCGAAACAAATCTTTCATTGTTGAATGCTCGATATATTGTTACAATAAGAGACTGCTTCAATAAGTCTGATGAAGTTGCTGTTAGAGTACCTAATTATTGGCGGATAATATGATCATTTGACAAATACCTATCTAGATAAACTTGTCAGTTCAGACTTCAGCTACTAAAAACTTAATCGGACATTGTGAAACAGCTGGCTATTCTGTAACTTTCAATTTGTAAGATCGAAGTTTAAGTAGTAAGTAAGGTTCGGAGAATAATCTCCACCAATGACGGACGAGAATGCAAACCAGCTCACTCAGAGTTCCAATTGATAGTTACAGAATACCTACCTGGCCCCAATAAATATATTAGTTACCAATAATACTCGTTTCTGAATAAATGACGTACTCATTAGATCACTTCATGGTAGAATAGTCACCAATTCTGAGTGTCTAGTGCGACTGTTTTACTTTAACGCGATAGACACGTTTATGACTATCGAGACTGATTGGCTGCTCAAAATTAACCAACCAATCAGAGGGTTAACCACGATAACGAAAAATACTCGCACTCAGTACGCTGTTGTATTATTAAGCTTACTTACTCATTGTTTTGTTTAATAGTACCCATATTGTTAGTTGCTTCTCCAATAAAACGCACTAGCTGTAACATTAATACACTAGCACAACTAATCTAATATTAGATTTTAACAGTTCAATGTATAATAAAAGTTTTAATATAAAATCAATTGTTTATTTCATTTTTATTTCAGTATAATGGTCCTATATATACAGTATACAGTTGTTCTATAGGAATCTTACTGAACTAACAGATTATTTTATAGGCAAAGAGGCCTAATATTACGTTTGACATTAATTTAATTCTAAAAAGGATATGACATTCATTTTTATATTTAAAATGCTAAAGACTATAGAAAACAGTATATCACGATAAATAATTTCATAAAACTAAATAAAAAAAAATATAACTCCTTAAAAACACTAACACAGAATAATATTATGTATTTCTCAATAATCCATTTATCCAAATCTTTATTCAAAAAGATAAAAATTTTATCATTACGTAAAAAAAAAAAACTAAAAATAAAATATTACATCACATCAAATGTCCCAAATACAAAACACTTTACAGCCTAAATAAACCTAATTTATATATTAATTACCTTAAAATTATTATAAAAATAACATAAATACTGTTTAATGACTACAATTATAGTAGAAAGTACAGCAATTCTATTACACGACATTTATTTTGAAACATTAAAGACTATAAGATATTTTTAAATATCTCGTGATCACTACAAAACACTGAAATTGTCTGAATTTAATTAAATGTATGTTGTTTATAATTATATATGGTAAATATACGGTAATAAGATTATTAGATAGTCCATTTCCATAGAAAAGAATATAAACATTCATAGATATAATGCACATCAATATCATATCAAAATATTCATTCACACTCATATACAATTTATAATCCCAGTTTTCCCCCTCTATAGATAGTCGCAGTAAAACGTCTGCTCATACACACAGACGTTACAATTTCATTCAATCTTTTCTTCATTACATACAGACCAAATCAATTTCTCAGTAATTGCAAAAGCCTTTGTCTTTTTTTATATTGCACGTATAAACAAAATGGATAGAACAAAAATTTTTAACATCAACATAATAATTAAAACTCATTTATCGGTACACACTCACATGCACAGCATATCGCAATTTTTTTATAGAAACGGACTTTATGTGTGCAGTCATCGTAAAATAGGCTTGATTGTTAAATAAATAGTGAATGAAAATCTTTGGTGAGTCACTTATCAGAGGTTGAATTTTGTTCTTTTCCGTGGCACATGGGGCCGCAGAGTCTCCCTCCTTAACTCCGGTTGGTAGCTAACAGAAGCAGTGATAGACACACTTGTCTCATCATCTTCAGACTTTATTCCATTCTTCCTATATGGGACAGGGTCAATGTGTACCGTAGTGTCTGGCTCGATTATATCAGGTTCCTGTTTAACAGCAACCGGTGGCTCCGGTCTTACATTTACCGCAGGTCTTGCGTTTACCTCAGGCCTAACATTCACCTCACGTCTTGCGTTTACCTCAGGTCTAACATTCACCTCACGTCTTGCATTTACCTCAGGTCTAACATTCACCTCACGTCTTGCATTTACCTCAGGTCTAACATTCACCTCACGTCTTGCGTTTACCTCAGGTCTGACATTTACTTCGGGTCTAACATTTACCTCAGGTCTAACATTTGGCACCGGCTCTTGTATCACGGCTTGGTTCGGATTTTGCATTTGCCTCCTGGAAATTTAAAGTATAATTTAATCGACATATTTTTTTAAACTATTTAGTATTATTGAAATTCTATTTTTATGTGTATTGGATTATGTACGGTTTCATTACATTCCTATATGAAAATTAGTTTAAGGCGAACACTTGATAGTTATCATAGCTGTTAAAACCGATTAATTTCAAAAAAATAAATACATATGGCCAATTTAAAAGAATACAATATGTCCATATACAATAATATCCATGGATAAAAACTACAGAAATTACTTACAAGACAGTATTATCCAGATGTTTGACATTTTCAGTAATGGTCTTCGGAGACAGACTAAAGTTTTCATCATAAACTTTATGCTTGAACATGTGCTCAGCATCATTGAATGGTACAGTCTGCAGGTACCCTGTAAAGAGGTAAATGGTTTTGGAAAGAAGAAATACAAATTAAAATTTGTATTACCTAGATCAACTTTCTTCTAAAAAATGTGCCTTACAAATAATGACCTTCTCAATCATTTACATAAGTGCCTGTTCTAATATAGAATTGCAGATACATGACAATAATGTTAATAAGTTCGAGTATAATACAAATTTTATGCATATTTATGATGATAAAGCTGGACAGGAACGCAGTGATCCTCTAAATTATTGTCCTTTTTGGTTTTTAAATTGCATGGTGTATAAGAAAGAGAATTCTAATCTATTCTCTATTGTAAACTGGAAACTGACTAAAATTGTAACTTGTCTTTGGCAATATAAGGGTGTTTTATTTTACTTACTGGCTACTTCTCCCGACTCTGCCTTATACTCTTCTATTTCCGTATCCTTCTTTATCAGCAAGCGACGCAGCTCACTCTGGCTTTCACGCAAATCGCAAATTGACTTCAGTAATGGCCGGGTGACTTTATGGTAAAACTGAAATGTACAAATATTGTTGGTATAAATAAAACTTGATGATTGAAATTCATTATTATACTAAAATATTTGTACTTAATTATGGCATATGGTAGCAAATTAATGATTTTGTGCTAAACGATAATACATTAAATAAATAAACAAGGATTTATAAAACAACTTTTTACAATTTACACATTTATAAACAATAAAATTTGTTTTCATTTAATTTAAACCTTAAACACCTTAAAATCAAATACAGAAAGAATGATATATACTCACTAGTTTCTCTGAGCCCTTTGTAAGTTTACATTTAAAGTAAAAAGGGAATCCAAATGACATAGTCAGTGAAATAAACAGAGTTTTGCCATTATCCCTGTTTGATATATCAAACTTCCTCAAGTAATCAATATTAGACACCAAATGGATTCCTTTTTGAAGATACTCATTATCATCTGACAATTCAAGGCCTTCATTACTTCTCTGAAAACAAATATATTAACAGATTAGCTAATGAAAAAAACAAAACATAATCATCATTAATTTGTAACAGAAAGTAGAGTCTACATTTTGATATTAATATTTGGTGAAAACATCAAATCAAAATGGCAGATTGAAGTACATGTCCATATCCATGACATTTAATGATTGATGGTGGCTACTAACTGAACATTTATTAAAATCATACTTGTAACTTAGCTAAAGGACAAAGCAATTCAACCAATGAAATAATATCATCAAATGCAGGCATCATCAATATTCCATCCACTTACTATCGACTACATACATATATTAATAGTCTAGCGCCATAGGGGCGTTGGGGCGAGCGACGGCGTCTATCGCTATAGGTATATTGAAAAAAATCTAGACTTCATATAAGTACTAAATTATTCAAAACTGAAATACAATAATAATAGCCGATCATCGTATCGGCTATAGAAATTGAAGCTCAGCAGCAGTTTAAAGATCCAGACCAAAAGATTCAGAAAAAATTAATAGGTACAAATATATGCACATACCTTTATTTTAGCTAGAAATTCACTTCGGGAATACAAGGTGGTCCATACGTTAACGTTGTCCGTGATGCATATTTCATACCCATGATCATTTGAAAACAACAAAAAATAATGGGTTTCTTTAATTCGTTTCCACATAATAACTACAATCACCACAATCAGATGATTTTTATATTTATACAACACAAACAATTTACGTATATTTTCCCGTGAGGAATGACGGAATGATAATGAAGTAAATGAAGATTATTGACAGTTTTTCAGTGTTGCCTGCCGAATAAATAGAAAAAGTGTTGCCAAGGTATAGATATAATATAAAATTAATGGTTTATTGATTTTTCGTAGGCGAGTAGAGATATAAGAATGACTGTGCTAAATGGAATGCTGCATTCAATTTAATATTTTTATTTCTAACTGAGTTGAGAATATAGTAAATAAGTAATTATCAATTAATTAATTTTATTCTTAAACCAAATGTTCTTTTTTTAAGAATTGATTAATATTTAAGATAATTAATACTTTAAGATAAACAGATTTATGATTTATTTTTTAATATTTCGAAAGCAAGAAAATTTGTACCACTTGATGACAAAAGTATTGCCTTGAGTAAATAAATAGAGAAAACCGTTGAACGACAGATAAAAATCGTTTTAGAGTCTGATGGAATGGTAAATAAAAAAGAATGAAAGAAAAGATTATTTATTTTTCTTAGCATCCAGCACCTAATTACTTCGTTTATTAATAAGTTGTTTTAGTGATGCTGACGAATTACCTACTATTATCTTATTTGATTAAAAAAAGATGTACCTTTACCTAATGCCATTTTTATTGACAACTGTTATTAAGTTAAGTGGAATGTAACAATTTTTTCTAATTTTTTCATTATAGTATGCCATTCTAAAGTAATAATAATATGTTAGGAGGAATAATTATGTTATCCTAGTTGTAAGCATTTTTTTTGTAATTGGTTTTATTGGATTAATAAGATTTTAACTTTATTATATTGTAAAACTTAACTTTGCATGCCGAAAACAGTAGGCGATGTATGTGGGACTATTTTTTATAATTATTACTACCTGTAATTACCATACTTCGTGCAAATAAACGTTCTTATTCTTATTCTATTCTTCTCTTTATTGAGGATGTATGCCTGGAGGCTGGAGACACGCTTATAAATAAATTATCTATCTATTATCGTCTTTTTATCCACGGTCTATCTGTGTATCAATTTAATTAGTTATAACGTAGATAGGGCGAAACAGAAATGCGCACCGATTCAGGGGTGTCAAGTACCTATGATGAAAAAATCTGAAGTTTCGTGCAGTTTTCACTCTCGGGTCATCCAAATACTAAATTTTGTGTCATTTTCGTTTTCCATATTCTCGGCAAGTTATAATGATGTCCTAGTCTTGGTCCTAGTTGTGGTTTATGGAAATCATTTCCTTGTATTATATAGTGGTAGTCATTTTGTTAAGACGATAACTAGTCAAAAGTGAATTTAACATTTTAATATACGACATTGTGTATCTCCCAACTCCTTTGGACCGTCAGGGGCTTAAAAAACAGTAGGCTCGCTGTTTTCAGAGGTAAGTTTCCTCTCTGTTTCAGATTCAGTGGGAGGAAACGTCTGGTTTTTTTTTTTTTTTTTTAAGGGGGGAAAATCATCGAATGACTGCTCCCGCCTGGGTGAGGCGGGAGGGAGTGTCAGACTCTTACTGACTAAAAACCACCCCGTTCCTTCTCCTGCACGTCGAGCCGGAGCCCCGGTTACCCGTTAGGTTCTCCGCGACTCCGAATCGGCATCGGCCCTATTGGGCCCCATCTGTGGTGGTCCGATGGCTCTTTGAGGTGCGCGCGGAACGCGACGCGCCGTACGCTCGGGTCTGTTTCTGGTCGGACGGGGAGCCACCCATGCTCGCCGTCCGCAGGCCCGCGCTTACGGTGGCCGGAGATCGTCGTGCGATCCCCGACGCCCGGTGTGTCCTTCGCGATGGCTGGGTTGCGAGGAGGCAGCGCTTCGCTGCCTCACGCGTCCCGCCTCCTCCTTAGCTAGCATGACTGCTTCGCAAAGGAAACGTCTGGGTGCCGTCACTCCAAGAACCAGCGGGTTGACACAGTGGTGTGCTCCGGTTGCCTTCTTTGGTAGCTGTCCACAAGGCGAGAGGAGTAATTTTTGATGGTTTTCTCTATTCATAAAAGGAGCTAATAATGTTAGGTTGGATATGTTTACAGTAAACCAAACTAAATTTGTGGTGGGACGTACATAAACTAAGGTATGAGCATTCTTCCATTTGGCACGAAAAATATTCTACGCTTCTGTAAGTAAATAAGTTGTACCGTGGTCGTCGCGTATCACGTTCGTCGATTTTTAAATCGTGTAGTTTCAAACATGTGGCGATATTTGCAATGCGCAAAGAACCCTCGATACGAAGCGGTTTCTGAAATAAGTATTTTATGGCTTGAACGTGAAGAAATACACGTAAGAAAACTGAGGACTTGTAATTGGCTTGCTGATGTAATTTTTTTTTAATGTTGGAGCAAAAACTCTTTTGCGCCACCTCATTCATGAAGTTTATTATTATAATATTTTTTATGTTCCAAATTTGATATTTTTTTTTTTTATTTTTTTTTTTTTTCTTCTAATTGAATACATGCGTTCTAAGAATCCGTCAACAAATCTTTATTTTTATTCTCTTTATAACATCTTATATAAAAACCTTTGAAATTATTATTATTACGCCTGGACTCTCAAACATTTGGTCCTTCGAGCCGGATATTTCAATATCTACGTAACTGGCGAACATTATTGAAGAGTTCCCAAGGAAATAATTTCAAGAACTGAAGAACAATTTGTTGATGCTGACTGCTTCAGGTTTTCGCAATGCCAGACGATCAGAGTACACTACTCATCAAGAGAAGGGCGAGTTATAAAGGAAGAATAACGGTATTTACCAAATTTTTTAATTCTTTAAAACTTTCTTGTCTTAGTCCTTCTGACGTCGGCGAATTGCAGATTCGAGTAAATGCACTGGAATCATTAGGTATACGCTAAATATGACGAGGTTCAATTAGCACTGGAATGTAGTACAGATAATTTAGAACATCAGTTATTAGAACGTAGCGAGTTCGAGTCTCTTTATTATAAAACCCTAATCGAGGCTCAGAAAGTCCTCAATGATCATATGAAAGAAAATCATGCCGTCAGTGAGGTAAGTGATCATTCTCATAGTAATAATTCGCACAAATTCGTTAAATTACCGACAATTCAATTGCCCAAATTTAATGGTTCGTATGTGAATTGGTTGGAATTTCATGATACGTTTGTAAGTCTTATTCACTCTAATGAGGACATGAACAACATCAATAAATTTCATTATTTGAGATCGTCTCTTGAAGGTTCAGCTGCCGTGGTGATCAATTCCATTCAGTTTTCAGCTGCTAACTATATAGTAGCATGAAATTTACTTTGTGATCGGTTTGACAACAAACATTTATTAACACAACACCATATTTCAGCATTATTTAATATTGAATCTATCAACAAGGAATCTTCTATTAATTTAAAAGCGTTAATTGACCAAATTAATAAAAACTTACGTGCCTTAGAGTCTCTAGGTGAGCCCATTGATCAATGGGATACTTTACTCATTTACATGATGACTCATAAGTTAGATAATAAAACTTATCGTGAATGGGAAGAGTATAAGGGTCGCTTAGACAAGGACTGTAAAATTAAATTTAATATGTTCATCACATTTATTAAAAATCGCGCAGAATTAATTGAAACATTAGAAATGTCAAATTCATTATCTAATAAATATACACATCAAAATAGTGTAAAATCTAATAAAGTCAGAACAATGATGGTATATGATTTTAAACCAAAAAACCATACAAATAGTTCAAGTAATGATAGTGAGCATAAATCTAATTACGGTTGCGTCCATTGTGGTGGTGACCATAAGTTAAACAGTTGCTCTCAATTTCTTTCATTGAGTAATCAGTCACGATTGCAATTATTACCTAAGTTTAAAATATGTTACAATTGTTTATGTACAGGACATTATGCTAATACCTGCAAAAAGCCAGGTTGCAAAAATATGTCGGCGTAAACATAACACTCTAGTGCATGTTACTGATCACTTGGCAAAGTCTGAAAATAATCCTGAAACATCAGGAAATAACACTAATTTAAACAGTCTGTCAACTCCGTTAGGTAATACGAACGTATCATTGTCTGCGAGCTTGGAGTGCGATGACGTGCTGTTATCTACGGTCTTAATAAAAGTATCAGGTAAGAATGGCCAACAACACATTATTCGAGCCGTGCTTGATAGTGGCAGCACATCGTGCCTTATGTCTGAGAGATTATACCGTAGACTTGAGTTACCTGCCAAGACTGTAAATAATTCAGTTTTAGGAGTTAATAATGCACTGTCTGAGATTAATAAAATGTGTCCAGTGTCAATTAAGTCTTTAGACGACAGTTTTTCATATAATATTAATTGTTTTATTTTGCCATCGATTACCAATGAGATACCGAGTAAACGTATAGATTTATCAAAGTTAAATATCCCGTCTAACATATCTCTAGCTGATCCTAAATTCCATTTACCAGCACCAGTAGACATGTTATTAGGTGTTGATATCTTTTGGGATTTGTTAGGGTCCCAAAAAATTAAGTTAGGAGACGGACAGCCTATTCTTTGCGAGACTAAGTTAGGATGGTTGGTCTCAGGTCCATTTAAAATTAGTAATGCATTGCGCTTCGACACATCTAAAGTGTTAAACTGTAATTTTGCCAAGACTGAGCAAGATAATAATAACGAATTAAATAATTGTATAGAGCATCAACTTACCAGGTTTTGGCAGTTAGAAGAAGTTAGTACGACATCAGTGTACTCTCAGGAGGAAATGCTATGCGAAGAACACTTCATTAAAAATACTACACGTTTGGAGAACGGACAATTTTGTGTTCGAATTCCACTGAAGTGTTCTTCTGATTTGTTAGGTGAATCATTCTCAAGGGCTAAGCATTGCTTTGTTTCTTTAGAACGTCGACTAAAAAGCCAACCTTTACTGTCTAGTATGTATAAAGAATTTATGTCAGAGTATGAATCTTTGGAACATATGTCGAAATGTAAAAATATTAATATGTCTGCTCATTATATTCCTCATCATGGAGTTTTACGTGATAGTAGTCTTACTACTAAATTACGAGTGGTTTTTAATGCCAGTAG